CTGCCAGTGAAAGTCCCGTCAAAATCGGTACAGCCATTTCGGAGATTATCCGGAACAAACAGACAGACAGACAGACAAAATTTTAAAAATTATGTCGTTGTTAAAGTTATCCTAAAGTTATCTTAAGTTAGCCCTAGGCTCCATCCTAGTTAGTCTGTGGGTAAATCAGGCCCCGAGTGTTAGCACGTTAATACAAAATTTGTTCAATATAGTTAGGATATCTCAAACCTTAACAACTGAAGGCGGTCGGTATATTCCAGTGATCCATATTGCTGCAGCATGGCTCCACCACGTTAAAACTTTACTCTACTCTACTCCCTTTTGATCTACTGGAAATATGCCAAAAGAGTTTACAGGGGTGATAAATTATGTGCATAACCGGGGAAAAGTTTGGTTGTGAGAGAATATTTGTCTCCAATTTGTTTCCCACTTCACTTCATTATTTGTTTATAAGTATTTTATTGTATTAAGCGTTTCTAATCAAGGGATGGAAATAAAGCAAAATGACACAATGAATTCTAGAAACATTTATTACTAAACAGTATAACAATTATCATATCTACAAAAATTTAAGACACATAGAAAGTATTTTAAAATAAACAAATGCTTAAAATTTACCTAAATAATGCAAGATGTAAGTACTACAGTAAGATAAAGCTGTGTTGTATTAACATTGTAGCAATTAGCAGTACTTTAAAAATTTAAATCAGTTTTATATAAAATTAAAAATTGTAAAGCAATAAATAATAATAAACTACTGTAATACCTTTTTTAATTTAATAAAAAATGTGTCCATATTATTAGGTCTTAGAAATATCTGTTCTATCAATTCACTTTTTATTTAAAAAATTAAGATTTTGGAAGGCCTACTAGTTATAAAACTGCAATTTTGATTAGATAAGGCAGGCAGGTGACAGCACGAAGCTAGCTAACTATATAAGATTGCGTCACAGCTTCATTAGATCAAATTTCGACAAAAGCTTGAAAATTACGATAATTGTGCTGTATAAAATTTTAAACTTTATGAATTGAATATAAACCTCGTTTGTCAAAGGGATAAGAAAACTATTTCTACCAAACAAACTACATGTGTGTGATTTATATATTTTTTCATATAGCCTGACCAAGAAAACAAAAAACTGATTTTATTTTTTCATCACAATTTTAATTTTATGTCAATAAGAATTGGCGTAAAGGTGTTCTTTAATTTAGTTTTATAAGGTCATACACGACTTCATAATAAGGGTTTATTAATGGTGACTTAATTGACCGATAATCTACTAGATTATATAAGCCACTCCACATTTTACGTAAGTATCGAATCTCGAATTAATAACTTTTCAGTGTCAAGTATCCTTATTTTAAAAACCCTTCTCTTCTCTTAAAAACCCTACAACATAAAACCTCTCTTCTCTTATTTTGAACGAAACTAATTATCCGGATTTTACTGCGTTTTATTTTTAATATTTTAATATTTTTAGTGTGGGAATAGGTCACAATATTGTATAAATTTTTTCTTTCATGTTTTAATTTGATATTTTAATGTTCTTCATAGAAAATGCATTCGAGTTCACAACGAAATTTAGACACTTGACGGACTGACTTTCAGATACAGTAAATAAAGAGGCAGAAATGGAAACAGTGGCTAAACATCCGCAACAGGACAAAGATTTTTATTTTCTTAGAATATAAATATGTGCTATTACAATATTTTAGCTTCTACAAATTTTAAAAGGCACTTAAGTTTAAATATAAGTTTGTCATTAAACATTTACTTAAATATAAGACTTAATTCAGCTACAATTTAGAAATATTAAATTAATGTTTCGAAATAACAATGTTTTTTTTAAACTTTAACAGAATACTGAATAATCACAATAAATAAAAATTAAATTATCACATTGTTATTACACATAGCAATTATAAGTTTGTTTACATCTAAAGCATTTAATTTGTTCCAATCTCATTTTCTGTGAATGTGAATAATATTGAATATTCTTATTTATAAATAACTATTTTTCTGCAAAATGTAATGAATAATGTAAAATTACCTAAAGTTGCCAAATTATATGACGATAAGTACTACGGTACTTTAATTTATACAACACGTGTTTAAATTAGTTTGGAAATTTTAAACTTTTAGATACTCACATATAATTCTACGCTTAAAAGTACTTCAACAATGTTCACATTCACTGCAAATAAATTCAGAACAGCATATATTTTGTGAGACCTAAAACAATCACTAAGCACAAAATTATTTTTAGGCTGAACAAATAAATGTATACATAATTAAGTATATTAAAATTTTGTTTTAAAAATATATATTTTTTGTAGGTCTGTATGATAACTTTAGTTATGAGTTCTTTTTTATTATAATAAATATTGTTTAATATACTGACTGACTTTTGTTACCGTAAGGGAAAAAAACATAGGGTGAAAAAAATTGAAAAAGGAATAGATAAAGAGAAGCGTTGGGTCGTCGATGTATTTGTCGATAACGAAAATAGACCGTCCATTCTCGTTCATCGACTAGTCGATCAACTAGTTAAATTTGTCGACTAGTTTACGCGTCAACTTGGTTTTGCAAAAATTTAAATTTAAACTCCTCGACGTTGTCTATGGCTCGACATATACTCTTACGCTATATACGTTTAGAGTTCTAATTTGTTTGGGCAATTATGTCATTTCAACGAATTATGAACTAATATTATCCGACTCGACTAATCCATTGCTTGTTCGTAAACAGTCTACTCGTTCACAGTACGTCGACGGTCGAATTAACTAGTTCGTCCATTCAACGTCCATCGCTAATAAAACTTCTATGTCTACCGGCAATTCAAAACAAAAACTGTCAGATACATACTTATAGTTATGTGAAATAAACTTCAAATCACATTGATAAAGTATGCACGTATAATGACAGCGTTTCTTTAGTCACATTAAACAGTGTTAGATTGTCGAAAACAACGTTTGCGTTTTACAAAACAAAGAACTAGTCTTGTCGCCCGCTCGCAGTCATCTAAAGGAGTTACGGAGAATTGACCTTAACTTAGTGCGTAATGTATTAAGACCGGTATTTGGTAATAGGTGAACGAAATAGAAGATTATGGCATAGATATTTTTTTAATTAACTATCAATTAAAAAAATGAAAAACAATTAAAAATCACGAAATTCAAATCATGTGCACCAATGAATTTATTACGTCTTTGTCCTTGAACCAATCGCTAGCTAAAAAGAACTTTTTCGTTTTTATTTATTTCAATTAAAAAAACCAATGAATTTGTTAAATACCTATACCACAGGCAGGCCTCTATCAGTTTTGCTACCTACGTGATTTAAACGCCTATAATCGAGCGGAACCTCAGGTTACATAGGTAACATACGCAGTCAGAATTAGCGCATTTTAGGCGATCAACGTACTAGTGAATTTCAAAGCTTTTAAACACTGTTTACGTAAATACATTTTTTGTAAACACTTTTATATTTTTGTTTATTGTTTAGTATATTTACATGTTTATTATTGGTAATACTCATTAACACTTTTTAAAATATAATAATGAAAATACTAGCAAATAATTTACTAAAATTACTAACGAATATTAATTTTATCACTCCGCATCAATGTTTTCCCTCCCAGTATTTACTTAAAACTATACGACAGATTTAGGTTTTTCCACTTTTAAAATTAATAACCGTTATTTTAGAGACGGTAAAAAATATAAGACATTATAATAAAGTTAAAATAGTTGTAAATTAAATAAATAATCAAAGGTACTATATAAGTACTGTATTTTTTACTCTTTATTGAAAGCCTTGGTAACCACGAAATATTGTCTGTGACGTAGGATGGCGAAATGATGCAAAGCCATACGGACACTCGCGCGCAGCGATAAAGTTGAATTTAGTTTGTGTGCGTGATTTATCTAAATAATAATAATTATGTAGGCTATCAAAACGTCGGCAAGTAGTCTACACCAAAGAAGTCCAACTTCAGTACGTAGTACTATTATTTATTCTATGCCATAGGCTTCTGATTCGTTCACCTATAACATCCCATTATTTCCTTACGGCAAAGAAGTCACCCGGTCTAAGTTAAAGTGTTATTTATAGCGGGTGACTATAAATAACACTTAAATAAAAAAATAGAACAAGGTAAGTTTATAGAGCATCGGCGTTCGGCGATCATGTAAACGCGCGCACGATCATGGCCGAACCTCCTTTAATGTTTGTCCGAAAAACCGACACAGCGGCGATTACGCTCGATCATTACCAATAATGGGCAGTTATAGGCGATTATGCCCTCTACACGATCGTCATCGCTAGAATTCGTCCATCATGACCGATGATGTATAGGCCCTATTATGTTTGTCGTTAACGCATAAATGAGATGGTTATACCGCCATCTGTCGGAAGCCATGAGAACTTTTTGGCTTTACATCTACTCCTACGCCTTTTGCAACACCTATGGTAAAAAAGTTATAATAAAATTGTATCAATTACATTGCACCATTGCACACAAACTTCAATTAAGTTATAATTTTTGCTTCGATTTCCATTCCATATCATACAGTGACGGTTGGTTTGAAAAACTTACTAAGATACAACTGCCACAGGAATTGATTTTTATTATGTATTTTAATGGAATAATGATTTTTTATATTTACGCAAACACTGCACATTGAATAACACTATTTTTACTAATTTATCGCGTTTAATTGTTCTTAAATTTAATTCCCTAAGTTTCGGGTGCTTTCCCGCACCCATGGTTACGGGGGTCTGTAAAGTAGAAACCGGTAAAAGTAGTTTAATTCAATGTGCCATAGGAATGTTAATTTTTTCAATTTGGTAAATATATCTTGCTACTTCCCCTTAGTAATTAAAATAATGTTTACGCAAGGCCGGCAAGGGGAGGTATTTTTGAGAAAACCAAATTGATAAAGATCCGGATTCGACGTTTTCAGCTTTTTTAAACCAGTCGTCACGATTACGTAATAATTTAGGAATATGGTGTGCGAGGGTTGACGTTGATCATTTCGGTTGTGCTGAAATAAGGAAAAAAATATTAAGATCTTATTTTAATACAGAATAATAACAAACAAAAAACATACTAAACTAAACTACTACTAAAATAACTATTTTTTAGTTTTTCCACATCCATTTGGATTTCAGTTTTCATGAAATCGATACTTTAAATTAATAACTAAAATATTAACATTTTTGAAATAATTGTTATCAATATCATCTTCATGATATTAGTTTCTGGACTGCCGCGGCGTCAGCTTTAGCAAGAAATCTTGTTTCTTGCTAAACGTTTTAACTAACACATTTCAAATTAAACAATACTAGTGAATAGGGTCAGCTTTGCACGAATGTAATTTACTAATGTGGTATTTTCTTTTATAATTTGAATAAAAAACGTAGACGTTTGTGCAAAAGTTAAGTATAGTTACAGTCTATATACGTCTCACTGCTGGGCACATTTATATATGTAACTATATTTACATAAAATATGAAAATTTTAAACACTAAACCTTTCTCAAATAATCTTTTAATAAATTGTGAAAACCGTATCAAAAACTACTATTTTAGACAGATACAGGTAAGCTACTTTGTTTGAGTAAATAATAAATTTTATTATTTAAAATCATTTTTAGTAACGATTTAGACATCATGAACCGTTTAACATTTGGATTAATGCGGGAAAACCAGTACTTACAAAAGATAGTCTCAAAAAATACCACTAATATAATTTCGAGATATACTGGGTGTCGTAAGAGGTGACACAGGGAAAATAAAACATGAGATGGGCAGTAACAAATTATCTTCCTGATAATAACTTAAAATAATAAAACACTGCGGTTGCCAACTCGCCTGCCAAGCGTGGCATTTATGGCAAAATTCCCTCTTTGAGATAATCTTTTGGGGCTCATGTTCAGCAGTGTACTTTTATAAGCTACTGATGATCCGTCCCGGCTTCGCACGAGTGTTTTCTGGATCTTGACAACATCACCACCTACCGGATCAAATTGTGGATCTAAACCATCTAGGGACCCACTTAAAACACACAAAAATTTTCATCAAAATTGTTCGAGCCGTTTTCGAGTTTTAGCGAGACTAACGGACAGTAATTGATCTTTATTTAAAGGCGTAATTAATATTTGAACGAATGATGATACTGATTTATTTTTGTAGAAAGTTAAATATTGTAAAAATTAATTAAAACAAGCGACTAAATCATTAACAAAATACAAAAAAGAAATATTTCAAAATCAAATACAACTACCATTAGGTGAAAATGAGTATGATACTAAAATGTGCAATTATGTGTATAGATATGGGCTAATAATGACACTAAAAAGTTTGAATAAGCAAAAAAAACTTACGAATGCACATTGACCCTGTGGGAGGTTGTTTGTTCGTCCATATAGTAGGAATGGGTGATAGGAGGGGGATATCTGATTATGACAAAACTTGTTATTTATTTCCAAGTATTTGTTGTGTATATCCAATAACAAATTCTCACAAAATATTTAATCGTTTAAGTACTACATTATACACGTAATCACATAAAACCGAAACTGATTCTTAGCGATTACGGTGTTCTTAGTGATACTGGTAAATTGATTCTCAATGATCCCACAAAATTATTATTAATATTTTTTCATAATTTTAGTTTTTGATAATTCAGGTGATTTTATTTAAAACGGTGGTTTAGACTAGTACAGGAAATAAACATAAAAATAAAATGATAATGGGGTTCCACTAAGGTATCTTGTTAAAAATATTTTATACGTATGAAACACAGAATAACAAATATATGCCATAAGGGTAGTTTACATAATGATTTCTTATATTTACGCGAACACTACACATTGAATAAAACTATTTTTACGGATTTTATCGCCGAGAATAAGAATTCTTAGATTTCTCAAAAAAATCTTGTGCAGTTTTTTTGGAAGATTAGCCTGGACAGACCAGACAGACAGACAAACACGCAAATCTAAAAATGGTTATTCATGTCATGTAAATAACACTCTGAGCTGATTTTGTAGACACATAATATACTTCAATGATATGTACATATTTAAATTAATACAAGTGTTATAATATTTAACCAGGTCATTGAAGAATGGATCGCCGGTGCAGGCGACGCTGGTTTCGTCTACGTATCTATGGGATCTTCTGTAAGGACCAACAAAATGCCACTTGCCGCCCATCATATGATTGTCAAAGCTTTAGGTCGCCTAGTTTACATGTTATGTAGCCTTAATAAAACACCCATTAGCAATGAAATATTGGGATTGAGATCTTAATAGGGACGGATATCTTGTTGCTAGTAAATTTATCATTTAATTTAATAGGTTATTAAATATAATAATAAAATATTTAAAATTAAGCATTTGTAAAAAATTAAAAATATACAAGTTCACTTTTGTTTTAAGAGATATTTAAATAAGACTTACCTTCTGGAGCACCTGACATGTATAACGAGCAACACGATGCCGAGCAGCAGGCAGAGAGTTCCGACCACCACATACGCGACACCAAGGAAAGGATTCTTGCCACCGAGTAACGAGGTAGTCGATATTATGAACGATTTGGTTCCATCAAAATCAGTCACTGGGTAGTCTGAGGAATTAAATAAAGAATTTGAATTTTAATTGAAGTTGATATAATATATATTTTTTAACTTCCATCTGTGTTTCATCTGACCCTGCAGGCCATCCCTGGAACTTCGCGCGTATTTTCGCGTCTATTTAATTTTTGCTTTTTTGATTTTTATTTTTTGAAAATCTTTGAAACTGCTCGACTGATTGACTTGAAAATCTAATCTGCTCGAAGTCTCAATGAACATTTTCGAACGCCGTGTCAACCATATCGATCGGTTGAATTGTTCTAATATATCCTACGACATAATTTTATTTACATACATACATAAATTATTACACACACACGCACGACCAGACGTGCAGCCCGGGAATAGTCGGAACGGCTTCCTAGGATTTCAAAACGTGAAGATCTGATGAAAACTTGCTTTCTCAAAATCGGATCGAAATTTATAACTTCCTACTTTTGAAAATTATTCATTTTCAAAGCGGATGTTTCAAAGCGGATTTTCAGATGTTTTATTATATAGTTAAAGTGAAAAACAAGCTAAAAGTCTAGCTGAATCGATCGATAGCTTCTGCATCAAGGAGCGCAACAAACAACTTCAAACAAAGAAGCTTACAGGTGCGTTGTCACCTATGAGGGCTAAGAATGTCTCACACACTATTACTATACTGGACATCCTGGACCTTGGAACCGAAGCACAAATTTACTGCTGCTTGTCATATCACACCTTGTAACATTTAAAAAATATTGTGGTGAACCAGTATAACAAGGGTTACAGTTTTTGTTTCTGTATCAATTAAAATGCATATAAGTCACAAAATTATAAAATAAAACGAAACAGGAAGGAGGAATACCCACTATATTCGACGCGCAGCAGGTAAGGACCTTTCACCAGTCCTGTACTGAACCCGACTTGCGAGTGGTCGACCCGACGGTACAACTTTCTGAATGTTGGCAATGCTGCTGTACGCATCCACACAATCAGATCTTCATTCTGTAAAATTAAAATTTTTGTTTTCAGAAATGTAATACGGATTATAGAGGTGGTCTGAAAGAAAGCTTTTAGCTTATTAGCGAATGAATTTCAAATTTTGTTTTCAGAAATATAATATGGAATTACATACGTTCTGTTGGCTATGCTACATAACAATCGTTTTTATTACTAAACATCAAAATATAAATTACGGAGAGCTTACCTGAAAACCGTTATTTTCCGAGTTGTTCATATCTAACTGCCACACCGGTACCCGCCAGTTAACAGGTTTTGTGAAGTTGGCGAATGCTAAAAATGAATAATTGTACAAAGCTAATATACAAATTCTATACTTACATCTTACGAGACATACAGGCGGCAGTGATACAGTGACTAAGAATTTCCAAGTGGCTATGAACAGCTGGTTCGATTCAGAGCAAGTATGACCTATATATAATTGTTTCGTTGTGATACAGGAGAAATTCTTAATATGTAAATTTATGTTTTTTTTTATAGGACAAGGGTGACAAACAATCACACAGTTCGCCTGATGGTAAGTGGTTGCTGTGGCCCATATACATCTACTACATCTATCCTCGATGACGAATCAAAATGCAGATGCGTTGTCACCCGGGAGGACTAAGATGGAATGCCTCTTTTCCAGTAAAAATGGTCTCCGGTTCTCTACACTCACTATATGAAACACAGCGGCGTTAAGCTGCTATTTTACGCGGGTATTCTGTGAGAGCGTGGTCCTTCCCCGGTTGGGCCAACCCATTCATGATATAACTATACCAGTAATATAGTTGCACCATGGCTCTACGACGTTGAGAAATTTTAAATTTTTTTGAAATTTTTGTAATTTGTACTTTATTTGCAATAGAAAAAAGATGCCCGAGTGAAAATTTCGTCCTATGTCCGTTTAAAATCCTACGTTAAAAAGTGGAATTGAAAGGGTGAATTTTTGACGATGACGCAGACGACATACTTATGTGCACTAAACAAGTTTAATCACTCGTTTTGAAGTGGATCATACAAATTAGTGAATTCTGATTTCACTCATTCACCATACGGAGAAATGAGCGTTTTGTTTGATTAATTTGATGCTAAAACTACATAAATTAATAAATTTCTCTAACTAAAATATAAGACACTAGCTGTGCCCCGCAGTTTCACCCGCGTATATCACACGTCTGAGCCGCGCGACATGACACCAAGGCGGAATCAAACGGTTCACTCGAGTGCATGCATCATTTTTCTTTCATTCTATGTTCACACATCTTAGCTGGAATGACATACGAAAGAATATTCACCTGGTCTTTTTTTTTTCAATATGTCTATTTATAAATATAGAATTATTATAATTTTTCATTATCTCTAACTATGCGTTCAAATAAGCTATAAAGAGCAACAGTTTATCTTCATAATGATAAAGTAACTTTCGTTCGTAAGAATTAATATGCCTAATAATAACGCTCATAAATCACTTTTGAATTTTCAATATTTTTTGTCATAAAACACCTTATGACTTATGTGTATGAAATAGATATACAGTATCTCGGACTTTTTTTAGATGGAGTAAAGATTCATACTTTTGTAGAATATTTTATTTACATATCACTCGCCATTACACCAGCGCACGTTCGGGAGCGCTTTTTCTTCAGACTTATTTGACAAAAATCAATATTTAAGGCCAGCTGAAAGGTGTAACCTAAGTTCCAGATAGCCTATACTATTCTTCATGAATCTGGCTATCATATATACAAAAAAAGATTCTTCAAATCGAACTGGTAGTTCCATAGATTAGGGTGTTATAACTAAAAAACTCTTCCGCTTTATAATATTGTTAGTATAGATGGCTAACTAAAATATAATTGTTTCTGTCATAAAGTAGTTGACACAAATTGTAGATGTACCAGCTATAGTGTTGTTTAAGTGTCCTGTCAAGGCATAGAATTTGAGAAAGATCAAAATTTTAAATAAATTTAAAATATCTAAATTTAGTTCTAAGACCATGAAATATTTTTCTACCAGCTTTAGAATGAAATGTAGCTAATAAGAACGTTTATTAACTAAAGTAGAGGTGTGCATATCTTTTTTCATAAGAGTATCGGTTTTTTTTATTAATAATATCAAATATTTTTCATCATCATCATTACAGCCCTTTACAAGTCACTGCTGAACATAGGCCTCCCCCAAAGAATGCCACAAAGCACGGTCCTGAGTCACCTGCATCCATCGACTTCCTGCATGTCTTACCAGGTCGTCACTCCATCTGGTGGGGGGACGCCCTACACTTCGCCTACCGGTACGAGGCTGCCACTCGAGAACCTTTCTTCCCCATCGGTTGTCGGTTCTTCGAGCTATATGGCCGGCCCACTGCCACTTCAGCTTACTAATCCGTTGGGCTATGTCGGTTACTCTGGTTCTACTGCGGATATCCTCATTCCTAAGTTTATCACGCAGAGAAACTCCGAGCATAGCCCTTTCCATAGCTCGCTGAGCGACCTTGAGCTTCCTCATACGGCCAGCAGTGAAGGACCACGTCTCAGTTCCATAAGTCATCACTGGCAACACGCACTGGTTGTACAATTTCGTTTTCAGGTTTTGAGGTATGTGTGACGAGAAGATGTGTCGTAGCTTCCCGAACGCTGCCCAGCCGAGTTGAATCCGTCGATTGACCTCTCGGTCGAAGTTGGACTTACCTAGTCGGACTATTTGTCCCAGGTAAACATACTCGTCAACAACTTCGAGCTTTTTTTTTTTTTTTTTTTTATAGGAGAGGGGGCAAACGAGCATGCGGCTCACCTGATGGTAAGTGACTACCGCCGCCCATGAACAACCGCAACACCAGGGGAATTGCAGATGCGTTGCCGGCCTTTTAAAAAGGAGTAGGCTCTTTTCTTGAAGGTCCCTAAGTCATATCGGTCCGGAAAAATCGCTGATGGTAATCGATTCCACAAGGAAGTCGTGCGAGGAAGAAAACATCTTCTAAATCGCACAGTGGTGGACCGCCAATCATCCAGATGGCTTAGTGCTCCCAACAACTACCGGCATAGGTGTGACATGGACATTGAACATGATCTTTGTTTTGTCCATGTTCATCTTAAGACCTATCCGTTGGGAAACACTATTCGAGGTCATTGAGCATAGTGCTTAGGTCCTCCAGCGATTCTGCCATAAGGACTATATCGTCGGCAAATCGAAGGTGAGTGATGTACTCGCCATTGATGTTGATACCGTATCCTTTCCAGTCCAGAAGCTTGAAAACGTCTTCCAATGCAGCGGTGAAGAGTTTCGGGGATATGACGTCACCCTGTCTTACACCTCTCTGCAATTAGATAGGTTTCGTACTCTGGTTCTGTACTCGGATAGCCATCGTAGCCCTACTGTACAAGCACTTCAACACTTCGATATACCGACAGACAACTTGGCACCGTTGAAGGGACTGCAGCACCGCTCAAATTTCGACGGAATCAAAGGCTTTCCCATAGTCCACATACGCCAGACATAGTGGCAAATTGTACTCTTCGGACTTCTGTACAATTTGCCGAAGGGTATGTATGTGGTCTATGGTGCTAAAGCCCTTTCGGAAACCGGCTTGTTCGGGAGGCTGGAAGTCGTCAAGTCTGCGCGCGAGACGATTCGTAATGACTCTCGAAAACAGCACGTAGACGCGGCTCAGAAGGGAAATCGGTCTGTAGTTCTTCAAGAGAGCGTTGTCACCTTTCTTGAAGAACAAGACCACCGCACTTCTGCTCCACGCCTCCGGTGTAATGCCACCATGGAGGACGGAATTAAAGAGCTTCTGAAGGACTTCAAGTACCGGTCTTCCACCCGCTTTCAGAAGCTCCGCTGTAATTCCATCCTCGCCTGGGGCCTTACCGTTTTTAAGGTGCTGGAGAGCCATTCTAATCTCGCTCTGACTGACGTCCGGGATATCTTCGGAATACTGTCGGATGAGACTCGCTCTTGGATCGTTACTCACACGTCGATCGTGTGGCTCCAACGATGACGTGTACAGCTGCCTATAGAACCTCTCAATCTCACTCAAAATCTCAGGTGTCCCGGAAACGATGCTGCCACACTCTGTCTTCAGCTTTGACAGGTGGCTCTTTCTGGCAGACAGATCTCTGGCAAAGACTTTGGAGCCTTGGTTCCGCTCGATCGCTTCTTCAATACGAGCTGTATTGAAGTTGCGTAAGTCCCGCCGCATGCATTTGGAGATCTGTCTGTTCAGATGCCTGTATGCTGTCAAGTCTGTTGAAGAATGTAGCTTCATCTCCCGTCTAACAGCCATGAGATTAAGAGTGTGATCGCAGAGTTTTGTGTTCTTCTGCGGCGGGTCTTGCAGAACTTAGCTCCGACCGCATGGACAGTTTCCACGAGCTTGTCATTCATATCGTCCACTTCATTGCAGTCTTCTAGGCACTGAAAACGGTTTTGTAACTCGAGCAGAAAGGTTTCGGGACTTTGGAACAGAGCACGAGGGGGACGGAGCGTTGACTTCATTAGACGAGACCTCTCCAACTTAACGTTTAGGTTCAGTGTGCCTCTAACCATTCGGTGATCGCTACCAGTTTTCACCCTCGCGATCACGGAGACATCACTGAACAGTTGTCGTCTGGTCGTCATAATGAAGTCAATCTCATTTTTTGTCGAACCGTCGGGGCTCGACCAGGTCCACTTCCTGTGGGGCCGCTTCTGGAAGAAAGAGTTCATCATAAAGAGGCCCTCTTTCTCCATGAAGTCGGCCAGCTGCTGGCCCCTTGGGTTCCGTTGCCCTATTCCAAATTCCCCTACTTTCAGCTCACCGTTCTCTCTTGTGCCTAGTTTTGCATTGAAGTCTCCCATTAACACCGTATATTGGGTTTTGGAGGAATGCATGGCTCTAGAGATATCCTCATACATTTCCTCCACCTCCCCCATCGGGGTGTGCCGAGGTTGGTGCGTAAACCTGTATGACCTTCAGCGAATACCGTTTGGTGATTCTGAGTATAAGGTACGCAACCCTCGTCGACACACTCCCGATCTTTACAACGTTGTTAACGAGAGACTTGTGGACGATAAATCCGACACCTCCTTGGGACAGATGGTCGCCCTCCCGGTGATAGAGCAAGTTGCCGGATTCGAGGATTACCGTGTCCTCCCCCTCTCTTCGGACTTCGGATAATCCTATAATATGCCAGCGCAACTTGTCTATCTCTTCTTCCAGCTCCACGATCTTCTCGTCAGTCCTCAGGGTGCGTGCGTTGTACGTTGCCAGGTCGAGTCGTCTAAGGTGGCAACCGAACCTCCACCGGAGATTCTTAGCACCCCCTGCCCCGCCGTTACCATGGTCGCCACCGTAGCCAGGAATAGCGGGGACGCCGGGGACTGGGGGCCGTCTCTTTGTTACATTCATAGGGGGGTATTTGCCATAGTTGCCACGCTTGGCGAGCGGGTTGGCAACCGCAGTTTTTTTATTGTAATTTTGGCTATTATCAGGAAGATGCTGCTGCCCATCTCCTGCCTGTTTCCCTTTGTCGCCTTTTACGACACCCACGGGAGGATATGGGGTAGTGGTATTCTTGACCGCCACTACACGGCTAAAATTTTTAATTATATAATATTATATGAATGCCGATAGAGAAGTTACTTACCTGTTTTAAGATCTCCAGGTGGATTCCGGAATTTAATATCCTTATCCGAAGTCCAAGCAATACCAGTTCGCAGTACTGGCACATTGATATTCAAATCTTGAGAGTGCACAGTTAACGTATCTGCAGAATACATAGTTATTATAATTTGTGAACCTTTTAATATGCCTAAATATTTACAAAAAATCAATAACAACACCCTAATATAATATAAAATCTTTTCTTTAAAAAATTAAACTATCTAAGCCCACCGTTTAAACATAATATACAGACAACAATATTGAGATTTATTACAAAAATATTGGGCCTTACCATTAAACAATGAGTTAGCAATAGCACCGCATGGAGCTACAGGTTTCAACTTTCCATCTTCTTCGGCATAGGCAAATGGCTCACAGTCTGATGATGGGGTTAGTGATAAACGTCCAAGGAGTTGACTGTCATCTCTGTTGAAATTTTATTCAATCATCATTCATTTATTACAGTAACAGATATTTCCCACAGAAGACACACATAGGCAGGATGGCAACTGCAGTTTTTATTTTACAATTTTACTTATTGTTCACCTTCTGTTTGGTTTACGCTTTATTTAGGGATAGAAATAATAGGAACTGGGTATTTTTTTTATAGAATAAGAGTGACAAACGAGCACACAATCCACCTGATGCTAAGTGGTTGCTGTGATCCATAGACATCTACATTTATCCTCAATAAAGAATCAAAATGCAGATGCGTCGTTACCCGTGAGGCTAAGAGAGTCAGTCAGTAAAATGGGTCTCCAGTTCTCTACATTCACCATACGATACACAGCAGTATCAAGCTGCCATTTTACGCTGGTATTCTATGAGAGTGTGGTCCTTCCCTGGTTGAGCCGACCCATTTGTGCTACAACTATACTACTAATATAGCTGCATTAAGAAAAATGAAGTTTTATTCTTGTGTCTTTAACAGTCACATTTTCCTCTATCGCCTCTTATGACAAACATGGGATGATATGGGGTAGTGAATTCTCTTACGAGGTATCCAATACAACATGCAATATAACACATCACACTATAGTTTACTTTTTTATCTTAAAGTTCTGCTCCATAAAAATTCTTACAAAAATGAAAGGTGGCTCTTATGCCCCAAAGTGGGAAATAAGACTTGGAATCCTTTAAATATATTTAAAATCCAACCTCTTTATAAAAATATTCATTTGAAAGTAACATAATACTTTTAGAATTTTTCATCTTTATCTTTATATAAATGTACCTGGACTTGACATATCTTCTATGATTCTGGTAATAATTGCTCAATCCATAGTAAAAGTATACATCTCCTTTGAAGTCTTCAGTTAAATTAAAAATTATTTGACAAGTACACGGCTCCATGTCATTTTGTTTTATATATTCAGCACATGTTATATTTTCATCTTCTTTCATACAGTAAGTATAATCAATAACATGTTCTTTTACCTAAAATTAATATAGCACATGTCATGTTTTGAAGCAAGGGGATGATCACCAATGTTATACATTATTACAACTAATAGCAGTAATGTTTGTCTTTGTGATTTAAAGAATATTAAAAATTTTACTGTTTTCAAAGAGTAGCCAAATTTTGAGCTAAAGTTCAATATATAAATAATAATATACCGTTATTGAAGTTTTCGAAAATACGAGTAAATATGGCTTCTACTTTTATTTCAAATCATCCCGATTTCAATGTGATTTATGGGCAACAACGTTTTTGCCTACCGATATACCCTTACGAATGTGGGCGTGCGCAGTAAAATCAGTTAAAACAACGAATTTCGAATTTAAAAGGTAAGCATTATTGAGATTTGTTAATTAATTTTCCTTCATCATTTGCCTATATTACTTATTCTGAACCTTCTTTACAACTTTGGCCGGTTATTACAAAACAACCCTGTATAATATCACCTATTATGGTTAAATCTAAGGGAAACAAGATAATATTATTATTTACATCAAAACATGTCCTTTAATGGAACATTTGAAAATGGGTTGAGCCTTCCCAACAGCATGCATATATTTTTTTTTATTTTTTACACCAACAATATACATTCAGTAAACAACAAAAAATATGTGCTTACATCTGATACAATACTATTGTTAGGTGAAAAACTGGTGCCTAAACTAGGTAAAACCTGTATCTTAGGTCACCAGGTCCCCGCCTGTAGGTATCCGTGGACAAAATAAATAGATGAAGCTACAATAAATGTTTTCATTCGTAATTAAAAACAATACAACGAGATTTACTTATATTCTAGTAAAAAAAAAACGCACAAAAGTAATAAGAAAGAGAACAACAAAAAAGGGGGAATGTCTCACTAAATAGCAAACAGAGACAACAGTTAAACATTTTACAACGGTAGGTACTTCATTTTACTTATTAATGGTCGCATTATTTAGGATGCATATAATTGAGCAGAATAATAAAATTTGTGTATGTGTTTATGAGTAATAAATAGAGTTACATAAATAAAATAAAAACAGTATAGTTAAATATATATAAATAGATATTTTATTATGTTAATAACAGACATAAATATTATTATTACACATATATATATACTATAAATCACTACACTTTATTTTTAGTTTAATTTTGTTCTTATAATATACATATATTATCACCTCTTTGATTGCTTTAAAAATTTAACAAGTTTATAGACAATATAAAAATTATGGAAGTTACATCAATTAATTATTAAATAAGATAATAATAATTACCTAATTAATAATTCTCATTAAATTTTCAGTATCATCATAGCTTAGGTTCAGTAACCAGGAGGTAACCTTTTTTCTGTATTTGTATGATGATAAAGAATATAAATCAATTTTCCCGTTACATAGGTTGTATAAATATGGACCAAGAAAATCAAAAAATCTTTGTGCGAATTTCGTCCTAAATACTTTGCGCTAGCACACTAAATCATATCTTCCCTTTTTGCTTTTGAGCTCTGGATTATAAAGAACTAAGCAACGTCGTCTATGTATAATCCATTGGACAAATATCTGTCGCACAGATAGTACTTTCCATTCCCTGTAAAGTTCTTTAGTAGGGTAAAGAAAATTACGAAAGGATGCTACTTTTAAGATTGCTCTTTGGGCTCTTTCTAATAGTAATAATGATGTTTTCGACGAGCCTCCCCAGGCAGATATAGAATAGGTCAAAACGGACTGACACAATGCATAATATACTGTTTTTATTAAGTTAAAATCAGCAATATGACGCAAATTTTTGAATATATAAACTAGTTAAAATAGACAACTACTATGTGCACTTGAAAAAATAAATTATTACAATTATACCCATCTGTAATTCTGTGCTGACATATGATAAATAATGATAATAATGTATTAAAAATTTGTATCTGTAATTATTGTAATATTTTTACACGTGGTAGAGCCATGCTGCAGCTATATTAGTAGTATAGTTGTAGCACGAATGCGTCGGCTCGACCGGGGAAGGATCACGCTCTCACAGAATACCAGCGTAAAAAAATAGCAGCTTAATGCTGCTGTGTTTCGTATGGTGAGTGTAGAGAACCGGAGACCCTTTTTACTGGAAAAGAGGCATTCCATCTTAGTCCTCACGGGTGACAATGCATCTGCATTTTGATTCACAAAAATGTAGATGTCTATGGGCCACAGCAACCACTTACCATCAGGTGGACTGTGTGCTCGTTTGTCACCCTATCCTATAAAAAAAAAATTTTTTTTGGAAAAAACACAAGTCCATATAAGTACAAAATAAGTATAGCTTCTGATGCTATGTGATTTTTAGAATGTTTTTATGTCTAGCTGTTGATGCATTAATGATTCAGACAAGAACTGCTGGAGAGCCACTTAAAAAAATCACACACCTTAAGGCCATAAAAGAAAATGAAACAACTAAAATAATATTAACCTTAAACCGCACAGACAACATTTCAATTGCAAATGGTTATGTTCTCTGGGTTCTATCTAATCCTAATTTTTAATGTTACTGCTGCATAGCAATATTGAAGCCTTGTCATTTTTTTTCCATGTTTATTTTCATTTTTTGTTTAAATTACGTTTTTAGCTCCTATATTATAGAAAAATAATCAAAGTCTCGAAAGTTGATTGTTTTGTAAAATTTTAGCATATTTGTTAAGTGCCTTGAAAAAATTCTAAGTACGAGTAGAGGTGTCCACTTTGAAAATACATCGATGTTTTTTCTCGATGTGATGCATCGAGACTGTGCATCGATATATTCCGATGCATCGGTTAGAAACATCGATGTTTTTTCAACATCGAGTACTTTTTATGTCTTTAACTTCCTGACACCCCTTTCAAACAACCGACAATTTTGAATGATCTAATCTTACATCGGCTCTGTCTTTGTCCGCACGCCTTTTGTGAGTGTGTGTGTGTGTGTGTTCAATGATGTTAGACAGTTAGATAGATATACTTTATTTCACAAAACGCAATTAATCTTAAGAACTAATATATTGTTAACAGACGTATAGATTCATAGCTATTTATATTTATTTAGATAACACTTTATTGTACGCTAAAATATAACATAAATATTAACGAAAAATGAAAAAAAGAAATGTGGTACAATGGGCGGTCTTATCGCTAAGAGCGATCTCTTCCAGACAACCTTTGGATGGACATTATATTTTTGATACATTATATCATTTATTTATTTAAAATTATATGTACAAAAGAAAAATCGTATAAATGGCGGACTTAAGCCTTTCAAATTCAATTCAATTATAATTATGTACTATTTATATTTGTATGTTGATGTGTATATATGTATGTGTATATTTCTGTATATGTATACATAGGAGATATTTCTATAGTTCATTAATTTTATATATTAATAAAATTTATATATATATATATATATATATATATAAATTGTGTGTTTTTATTCTATACTGCTACACCTACGTCAAATTCTCACCACTCCATGGGTTGACTGGTAGAGAATGCCTCAAGGCATTAAGTCCGCCCATTGTACTCTTTTATATTAAGGAATGCAATAAAGAATAAATAAATTAATATTTATGAGCATTGACCTATTACTAAATGGACGGCGGGTCTGTATCAAAATTCACGAAAAATGTGTCCGGAGTCAACCTATATAAGCGTAGTACACATATAATTTTACTTGCGAAAATTTATCATCTTTTCCACTTCAATCAGAGGCTGTTTTCATCTTATGCAGCTTCTAGCGAAAATTATCGGTATGATTTTTTACAATTACCCTTTGTAAATTTAATTTAAATACTATGTATTTTGTATCTCAGCAAAATATTACTTTTAAATATATTAAATATTAATAGTCCTTATCGAAAATATGTTTTGCTAGTTTTTACATACAGTACGGCATTTTGTAGTGTATTATCTGTCGACAAAACGAAGACTGGCGTGCAAATGGAGCTCTTTTTGCATTTTGGAACTCTTTTGGCTCGGACACTTGAGCGCAGAGCAGAGGTCCATTTAGTAGTAGGTCAATGTTTATGATATTATTTTAAGCTATTTTAATAGAAAAAAATCATTCGTCACAATAAAAATACTTACATATGGAATATGACTCAATCTTTTTGTAAATTTTAAGTATTATGACTGCTTTATGCACGCGTTAACTGCACCGATTAGCATTTTTCAAAGAGAAATATATAAAATAATAAATATATATACGAGGGTGGATTGAAAAGTACTCGGCCTAACCAAGAAAATAAACAAATACTAAATCAGTTATATTTTTATTTTTCTACATAATCACCATCAAGTTCAATACACTTTTGTCACCTCCCCTTCCAAGCATTTAGACCGTTGAAAAAAAATGATTCTTCCTTAGAGTCAAAATATGCGTCTACAGCTGCTTTGACCTCGTCGTTTGTCGAAAATCTTTGACCTCCCAAGTTCTTTTTTAGGTTAGGGAACAGAAAGAAGTCTGATGGTGCCAGATCAGGTGAATACGGCGGATGCGGTAACAGTTCAAAGCCACAGTTGTGAATTTCAGCCATTGACTGTACTGACGTGTGAACACGGGCGTTATCTTGATGAAACAGGACTTTTCTTCTGAGCATTCCTCGACGTTTTTCTTTTATTTCCTCTCGTAAACGACGTAGTAAGGTGCAGTAGTAATCAGAGTTTATATTCTGACCCGTTTCAAGATAATCAATCATAATCACACCTTTCGAGTCCCAGAATACTGAAGCCATCACCTTATTTGCCGACAAAATCGACTTAGCCTTTTTAGGGGGTGGTGAACCAGGTCTTCTCCACTGTTTTGATTGTTGTTTTGTTTCCGGTGTACAGTAATGAACCCATGTTTCGTCCATAGTAACAAAACGATTCAAAAAATCATCTGCATCGGCTTCAAATAACTCCAAACAGTCGCGTGAAATAGTCAATCGCGTCCTTTTTTGTTCAACTGAAAGCAGTCGCGGAACCCACCTCGCAGACACCTTGTGGAAACCCAACTCGTTGACAATGATGTTTTGAGTTCGTTCATAAGAGATGCCTATAATCTCGGCTATCTCTCTAATTTTTAATCTGCGGTCTCCCATTATTAAATCAAGTACTTTTTTAATATTTTCGTCAGTAGTTGACGTCGAAGGCCTTCCAGAGCGGGGTTCATCTTTCACACTCTCTCTACCACGCTTAAATTCTGCTATCCATTTTTTGACGGATGAATATGACAGAGCACAATCGCCTAATGTACTGACCATGTCATCATGGATGGCTTTTGATGATAGCACCTTCTTATGGAGGTACTTAATGACGGCACGCTGCTCGATTTGCTCCATTCGCGGAAATTATGTCCGATTACTTTGTTAATAAATTTATAAAATCACAACTAATTATCGCACACGTTTCGAACTTCACACAATGAACTAGTCTGAACTGAACTAAATAATGTGGGTAGATTTGATTTTTAGAATTGAATGGATCTGTGTTAGGCCGAGTACTTTTCAATCCACCCTCGTATAATATATATAAATACTTCGGTGGAAACGATTCTTGTAATGATAAAATTGATTTCGTAAACAGTTTTATAAACGATCAAGCTTTTAAATCCAATACTTTGGCAGAGAGGAATAATCATGCGAGGTGAGTTCACTGACTTAAATGGTCTAAAGGCGGCTAGTCACTTGCATGCCGCAGGGGCAATCTAGGGTCTAAGAGTGAGGATGACCCTTAATTGCCTTCTTAATTGTGATATGTGTATGAAAGCAGGAGCAATTTTCTAAGTCGGCTCTGCGGCAGGGTGACATGGGCGCAAGCCGTTCCTTGCTCCCTAAATAATAGCTACCGCTGCCACGTGTGTAGCGGAATTGGGACAATTTCAATCAGTTCGTTAGCGACTTTCGCGCACAGCACGCGTTACAATGGATACCAATAAAAACATGAAATTCGGACACTAGTTATAGAAGTGTATAAAGAGTGGTTTCTTCACTTAGTATATCTTTTATGTCCTTTTTTGGTAAAGCCGCAGAAAGAATGTTATTTGAACGTGGTAGAGTCATGCTGCAGCTTTTAAGAACTGTTATGGTTTAATTATTAATTAATTAGTTGTTTTAACAATAAAAATGGGTGTCTATGGGCCACATTATCCACTTAACATCAGGTGGACTGTGCTCATTTGTCACCCTTATTCTATATAAAAAAGAGCCAAGGCTATATTTACAGATTCATTGATATTTTGATAAAACTGGCGCCATTCTCAACGTGTGTGTCCAGCGACACGTACACTCTCACACTGAACGGCAGGCATGAGGCATGTGTGTAGAGACAGTTCTGATATTGCCCCGTTCGCTGTTCATTTTAGATTGCCCCTGCGGCACGCAAGTGAGTAGCCGCCTTAAGTATGAGACAAACCAGACGATTTTCTTTAAATACTCTTTAACACACAACCAGCTAATCTCAATTTCTTGATTCCGCTAAAGGACGTCAGTCCAGCTGTCAAGCTGCCAACTAGACCCACCAACAGGTTTAATGTTATAATAATGTTAATTTTGATTTAGAAGTTATAATATTAACAGTGATAGATAAATATACCTTTTTACAATTGACTGGTTATCATTGATTCGATGTTTTATAAAAATACATTGATACATCGAGTATATCAATAACTTTCCTAAACATTGGATCGATTCGATGCATCGTATTGTAAACATCGAGTGAATTCGATGCATCGATGTATATCGAATATCCCTAAGTAGGAGTGGTTAATTTTTTTAAATGTTTCTCATTGTCAAGAGACTGACTTTTTTAAGAATAATAAATACTTTTTATAAACAATAATGTGCCTCTTCTTATAATCTAAAATCTTTTTTTTAAAAATTCCAGAAATATAAAAAATATAAGGCAAATATTTATGGGGATACTTCAGGACTCCGCCTGTGACAGAACAGTATCAAATGTAACGCATGTAGCTAAAGGTTAAATATATTAAGGATCAAAATGCAAAATGCATAGTTACCCCTGACAACTGGAATGAAATGCCTTTTTTCCAGTAAAAACACTGATTCTCAACACACCATATGAAACAGCAGCATTAAGCTGCCATTTCACACTGGTATTTCTCACCGAACTGACCCAATCTTGCTCCAACTATATAAAAGCTGCGTCATGGCTTTATATGTAACGGATACTACATAATAAACACATAGCTGATGTGAAGAATCGACGCTCTGGGAAGTCTGTCTATGAACATATACAGGATCGCCCCCTTCACTACATTAGATTTGATAGACCACAAATCCTCGCTAAAGAATACAGATTCCTTCCAAGGATGATACGTGAGGTTATTTAAATCAAAAAACATCCTAATTTCAATAGAGAAGATGGCTGGGTGCTACCATCTGCTTGGGATCCTATAATTAATAAAGTTAAATCCCAACCCAAGCATACAACTACAAGACTTCAAGATACTGTAAGTTCATACTACGTAAATCGGAACGAAAATTAATAATTTTGGTACGACTTTCCATTGACGTCAGTGGAGTTTGGTGTTGATACGTATTTTTACAGAAAGATTACACTATTATAAGCACTCACACAAAGTCTCAATATACGGAAACGCGTAATTTTTGAGAAAAGAATAATTGAAAATCAATTATCCTTGCAATGTTTATGTCTAATCTGCTAATAAACTGGCGCCATTTTGTAATGTCATTGTCGACGTCAATAGGGATGTCGATTCTTTCAGAAAAAGGTCGATTTTTAAATCGATTCAAATCGTAAGCTGATGTATCGACTCCCGAAAAATCGATTTCTAAAATATCGATATTTTTTTCATGTTTGCATTTATAATGTAAATATAAATCCATTTTAAGAGAAAAAAATCCCCTTCATCATAAAAAAATGAGGGGACTGATTCATAAGGATTTCTGTATCTATTTTGAGACTGCTACGTCTCCGGCGCTGCGGGAAGAGCAACCTCTACGCCTTAGCGTAACAAATCGCAGGCATCCCTCCTCGCCTACGATTTGTTACAGCAGGCGGAGGCTGCTCCCCCTACGCGCCTCCGGCTCTATAAAACCACTCTAGGGGTAGGACAGACTCGTACCAGGTCGAGTCGGGGTCAATCAATTCGGTTCTTTGACATAAGTTGAACCTAACCTATTTTATTTGTTATCTGCCCTAATAGGTACTGTTAAATAAAACAAATTTCAATAAGAGATCATTTATCATGGTATCTTTCTTGTTTTTCATAAAATGGATTTATATTTACATTATAAATAGAAACATTAAAAAAATATAGATATTTTAGATTTCGATTTTTTGTAAACCGATACATCAGCTTACGATTTGAATCGATTTAAAAATCGACCTTTTTCGGAAAGAATCGACATCCCTATTGACGTCGACAATGACATTACAAAATGGCGCCAGTTTATTAGCAGATTAGACATAAACATTGCAAGAATAATTGATTTTCAATTATTCTTTTCTCAAAAATTACGCGTTTCCGTATATTGAGACTTTGTGTGTGTGCTTATAATAGTGTAATCTTTCTGTAAAAACACGTATCAACACCAAACTCCACTGACGTCAATGGAAAGCTAAGCCATAATTTTTAATCTGGAGGCAGCCATGGCTAACTATGACATTGGGACGTCAAACATCTCATTCCCCCCCATGACCATGAGTGCTGTAAAGTACTCGAAACAGGAATATAAAATAAGTTAATATAAGCGATAAAATCCGTAGAACTAGTTCTATTTAAATACTACATAATATGATAGGCGGTTAATGTTAAGCAGTTATTTAAAGAATCATAAAAGAATTTAATTCTGAAACTTACCTCATCCGAAAAGTAGAGCAACCCTATTCCGACAGGAATAAAAGCTATTCCTATTACAAAAAAAGTTGGTAAGACAGTCCCTGCTGTTAGTATAGGCTGCCATGCCGGCAAACGCTGCTGCTTGAACGCAGATTCTATAAAATAAATAATATAAATTTATGATTCTTAAAATCAATAACAAGAGAATTACAAGGTGTCACAGTGTTAATACCAGCAGGTCGTCTTGACTTCACATTCTGATCCGAAGTATCACTAGACGTAGCCATGAGAACAGCACCTCAATACTAGTTTATATAAATAGAGCCACAGAAATTAATAAAGTTAATAAATTATCCTTCGATTCTCTCCTCCAGTGCTGTTCTTTCCCTATTTTATAAAAATTATGTCAATGTCATTTCAATTTGACTGAAACAACCATAGTTATAGTAGTATTCTTCTTAATAATTGGGTTTATTGCTCTGAGATCTAGCCTTTCTGAGCCTGAAGTTACAATATATTATAATAATTATCCTTCATAGTATACTGCTTCATAATATGTTGATGCGTCACATTGTGTAGCCCTTGGGAGATATTGACGGCAACTTGAGCCAGCAGACAGCTGATGGTTGGCGATGGTGTCTAGCAGACAGACATCTTAGTTTGAGAATCACATCACCATCAGAGCACTTGTTTCACAGTTTTCACTAATAGTTCACATGCGTAGACACGTAATACACAAAATCGCACCACTTTTACATATCAAAGTCCACTTCAAACCATTATTTAAACAATAATACAGGAGCAGCAAACCGCCGCCGATCAAGTTCCCGCCAAAACTCCGATATAGTAGTAGTATGTAGGTATACCTTCGAACATAGAAAATAGTAATAGTTTCTATGTTCAAAGACGTATACATTAAGCCGCGTCTCCACCAAAGTTTTGTTGCCAACAAAACTAGTTTCCATTTTCGGCCGCAACATCAAAGGAACACACTTGTTGCCACTTGTTGCCAACATTTGTTCCCTCGGTGGAGACGCTTGTTGGAAACATAACTGTTGTCAACATTTTTGGTGGATACGCGGCTTTAGATTTGCGAAGATTGGCGATGAAGTGATTAAATAGTGTGAGACCACAGACTACTATAACTCTCTAGTATATATACAGTAATCTATGACTATGACGCTTACGCATGGTGAAACCAAAAACGAAATGTAGCGGTGTGAGTGAAATGTGCATTGCTGCGAGACGAATAGTGCTACTCGATGGATCAACTTCCACTATACCGATACGGAGCCCTGCGTCCGTGTCATAAAATGAATATTTTTATGTTTGAGGACATAAAAAATTACTGCAAACAAAAAGTTTGTGATATTTATTTTCCACCAAAAATAATAAACTAATTAATTTATTGCAAAAATGTCGTAAGCTCTCCTTAGAGGTATTTTAGAATTTTGCTTCATACTTCAATCTAATAATCAAATAGTTTTCGATTATTAATTTAATAATAAAGATTTTATGGTTTTATGTTGCTGGCGAATCACATATGTTATGTATGTCAAGTATATTAATTTTTTTTGCAGGACACAAGGTATTCGTTAATTAATTTTCAAAACATATATTCGTTTACCATATTTCCCTCCATATGTTTTCGGAAAACTCGTAAAGAATGAATACCTATCTCATAAACGTCTTGAGAGGGATAAACAGAAATAAACAGCAATGCTTACACCGCCACGTTCCAGCCTGTTGTGTATAGAGAGCCTGTATAATTATAAACTGTATGGTATTTTATTTTAGACCTCAGGGGTAAACACATTTGTAGCTTTCATTGTTTAAAGCTGACTGTAGGTGACCAGGTACTGTATGAATGAATGAATGAATGAATATACTTTTATTGTACACCTTGAACAAATATACAAATGTCATAACACAAATCAGATTAACCAAAGGTGTAAAGTAATACAAACAATGAATAGGTAGGTGGTAGGTGGTGCAATATAAATGTACAAATAATAAATGCAAAAAAAAGATATAAATAACTAAGTAATACATGAAATAATATAAATTACTAACACATAATAAAAGATAAAGTAAAACATATAATATATACATACATATACACATATATATATATATATATATATATATATATATATATATATATATATATATATATATATATATATATATATATACAAAATGTATTTTGTCTATACATATATATACAAAATACTGTAGTAGCCATTTACCATCAATTGATACTGTAAGTTTCTTTGTTACTTTCGTTTTATAACAAAATATACATCACAAGGATGCCTTTTCTCTTTTACATTGCCAATGAATACGTTGTGTCCATAGATTTAGTACATACTTGCATACTAAATCTATGGATACAACATACTAGAGATGTAGCGTATATACTAGAACAGAGGCACTAGGTATTAAACTAGACTAGGTTGCACCTGTTCCACCTACATTTACCAGTATTTGTACGGAATTGAGATATGTACTAGGTGCACCTAGTACAAAATTTACCTAGTACGACTCATCTTATGAGTGAGTTGTATTGTGAAGCAGACTGTGTAACTGTGATAAATATATTGAAAGAACAGCTCCTGTTCCACGAGATTATAAATCCAACAAAATACAGTCACAAGTTTTTCATTATTCTTACATATGATAGTTACCCTTGTTAGAATAAGATAAAAAATGTTTCTGTGACACTTTGTCCCTCGTCACAAGCTCTTTCCTTTTCTCACATAGGTTCAACACCTTAGTAAGGAAAGAGGAGTACCCGATGGAAGTATCTTAAAATAGCAGACTGTAACTGACAAATAAACTGAAAAAACCGCTTCTGTTCCGCGAAATAACAAAATTCTTTATTCATACAAATGACAGTTACCTTTATTAGAATAAGATAAAAAATCTTACGGTTAAATTGTGATACCCTGTTACAGTTGTCACAAGCTCTGTCCTTTTGTCGCATAGGTCCAACACCTTAGTTAGAAAGAGAACCTAGCAAGACTGTAGTAACACACTGCTATTTGTAACAGGTTTTCGGAACTAATCTTTATGTGGAACTGTAACAGACAGAACAGATATGCGATTTTATCTGTTACATTCCATTCCTAACTCATCTCTACAACATACGTAAACACAACAGAGATTTTCTGTCTACGTAAACACCTAAGATTGTTTTATTGTTGTTACATACATACATACATATAATCACGCCTCTTTCCCGTAGGGGTAGGCAGAGACCAGTTCTTTCCACTTGCTACGATCCTTACATACTTGTTTTGCTTCGTCCACTTTCATTATTCCCTTCATACATGCTCTACGGTTTAGGGTACTCTTGACCTGGCCTTTTTTCAAGACGTCCCTGATTTGGTCTAGAAATGTCCGCCTAGGTCTACCCCTTCCAACACTTTCATTCACACTCGCCTTATACACTTTTTTCGTCAATCGTTCTTCATTCATTCTCTCGACATGGCCAAACCATCTCAGCATACCTTTCTCAATTTTTGTCACTACATCTTCTTTCAGACCACAACGTTTCCTTACCTCACTATTTCTTAGCCTGTCACTCAGTTTAACTCCTATCATACTTCTTAATGCTCTCATCTCAACTGCATTTATTCTGCTTTCATGTTTCTTCTGCCATACCCAAGTTTCACTTCCGTACATGAGTGTCGGAACCAACACCCCCTCATGCACAGCCAAACGAGCCTTGTTAGACACCTTCCGACTGCTCATAAAGGAGTGCGAAGCTCCATTCACCATGTTTCCTGCATTCACTCTTCTTTCGATATCACTCTCACACTTTCCATCTCTTGTAAACTTTGAACCCAGATACACAAACTCTTTCACCTGTTCAATTTGTTCATCTTCAATCACGATATTGCCGTTATTGTTGTTGTTACGGTTAGCAAATTACGGCAGACAAAAGACATAGACCATAGCACCTAATCTGATTTTTATTATGTTCACAAAGCTCTTTAAAATTAGCTGTTGCGCTACATTACGAAGGTAATAAAAAAAGTTAAGAGAACTTGATGCAGCGGATAATTCATAACTATAATGTCTCAAATCTTTGAAGGAGATAAAAAAAACAGTAGATTTATATCACCATCGAAGCACTTACTACGGCTCCATGGTGCAGTGGCATTTAGATGCGGCGCTGAAGGCCGCTGGTTCGAAACCCACACGGAATAAGTTTTTGTAAAGCCTACAAATAATTGTTTCAGGTCTGAATGTTTGTCCTTGTGCAATTTATGTTTGTAAATTACCTCTACAATACAGGAGAAAATCCTAGAGTGAGGGAACGTTTTTAATCAAATTATGAAATTTACGATGAAATCGACGATGTTGCATCATTTCCACTAATAGTTCACATACATACACATATATAGAGATATAAATAAATAAAATTGCACCACTTTCGATCTTCGATAATTAGATTCTCTTCAGATTGAATCACAGTGGTGCATGAACTGGCAAAAAAATGGAAAAGAGGGTGGTACTAACCCAGACGGATTCCGAGACAGAAAAGAAGTCTTACCTCATAGAGCAATGTTATCGTCATCAAGTTTTGGATGTCTTCAAAATCTCCTAAAAACTGTGCAAAGTAATGTTTCAGAAAATTTATGAACATAAAACAAATCGGACTAGGCTGTATCGGTCCAAGATTTTTGCCTGCCTTAAATTACGAATCGTAACCACAACAACAATCTCTTTGGCTTGTGCCACTGTCAAAGTGTCAAACTGTCTCAGGCTCAGTGTCAAATACTCAAAAAAAAAACTTGATTTGTTTTAGAAAAGAATGAGTAATCTTGATCTATCTCGTACTACTATTTGTATTTAGATGGTATTTAGTTGCTACGGTGATAAATAAAATTGACTTTCAAACAGGAAGATATTTGCTTATTATTTTTATTAGTAATTTGAACTGGGAGAAAAGTAAGAAAGATGGCTAGTGAAACGACAAAGAATGTAAGTTTCTGTTTAATTATTTCTTTAAAGATAAATTAATATGTAACACAAAGAACCTGAATTTGCAATGAAAACTATCTTTTAATCTTATTAAGAAATTCGTCAATTATATTCGTTGGCATATCTATCAATTTTGTTTTCTTGCCAATGCGATGGTAAATTGGATCTCTTTACAGTTAACGCCGGATGTATGTCAATGTTTACGCGTGCCACCTGAATATTTATTGAATGAATGTAGGTAACACGTATAATGTAGGTCTTTGAGTTTTATTACTTTGTTTAAAAAGCTGTTTTATTTAAGATTTACAAACAAAGTTTTATTTTTGCATTTTGCTTATCATTGGTCTATAATTAGTTTTAGATACTTCTCATTAAACATAGTGAGTCATTTATGAACTATCCAAGATAATGACTTT